CACTTAACTGCTATGCCACCGGGCCGGCCCTAATCCTTTTTTTTAACACTCAGAAAAGGAAATTCAAATATTTTACTTTAACTGGAGACAATTTATATTAATAGATTAAAGACTAAATAAGTTAAATATTAAAGAGTAAATAATTTAAAATGTGTATTAAGATTTGAATTTCCATTATCAGAATTAAGGAAAGGATTTCATGGAAATCACTATCTCCATTTCAAACAACTTGTTGCAAGAATAATATTTATTCTACCTAAGAAGCATTAAAAGTTTTATAAGAAAAAACTAATAAAAGATGATGTATCTTTTAAATACTCAGATTTATCATTCATCTTTGTACCCCAGGAAAAATTACAAACAGTTCAGCTATTATGTAATTTTGAGAGCAAATAATGACAAAGACAGTTTTGGGGGATCTATCCCATGAAATACTAATGACTGCAACATGCTAGTTTTCAGACTCCTGCTTTTCATTAAAAAAAAAATTCAAGAACATGTTAAGTCAATGAAACAGTAAAAATGAATTTATAACATATTTTCTAGAAGCAATCATGACTGCAATTATATGAAAATAATGATATTTATTCTGCTATGAAAACATAATCAAGTTAAAACAGTATTTATATGTATTGCTTATATAATATTTTCTTCGAAATATCCCCTTAGCTTTTCATAAAAGATTCAACAATTCAAAACATGAAGTTCTACATTATCGGCTGTTCCAGCTTGTGAGAGCTGACTGTGTACTTCTCTTCCCAAGTTCATGTTTAATGACATCACCTTGAAAGTTCAAAATAGGCAATGAGGGGAGTATTTATACAACACAAATTTGCTAACACTATCATTCTGGGGTTTTTTGGAGAGCCGGTTGTTACACATTTATCAACACACCACTGCATGTTCCTCACGCTTAAAGAGTCTAGTTAAATTTCACTGTGTTTTCATCCCATTTTTTCTAGTTTTATAATAAGTCATGCACCATAGTAATTACTACTAAATGGTACAGAAGTTTTTACTAGTCTGTAACAAAGCTGTTGACATAACCACAAAAATCCTTTGGGAAATAATGATTTGAAGATTTTTCTAAGAATATACAGTCTTACTCATAGGTTGATCTTTAATACTAGATCGTTTCTAAAGAAAAGTTTCTTCATAAGAGTCTGCTAATGCACTCTAGGTTTTCGCAGTATGTCATCCAAGTTAAAACTCTGGACCTTGGAGCTAGTCAAGTCTGTTTCAAATGTGGTTAGCTATTTACCAGGTGAGTGACTTTCAGCAAATTATTTATTCTTTCTGATATTTTGATCTTTAAAATGGATGTACAATAATAATCTAGAGTATATGAGGCATTGAAGCAATAATGTCTCTAGAGTTTAGCACAGTGCCTGGCACTTCAAAAGCCTCCCTTACGTGTGGATTGATTTGACAACTGCTGTGTAATCTGCAATCCAGGGTTGTTCACGGCTGGTTCAACCCTTACTGTCTTGACTGCCGATGCCCTGAATTCCACTTGGTCATCTAGTTAGTAGAATTAGTTTACATCTGCCAACCTGAAAATTCAGTCTAAATGTGTATGTGTATGTTGTGGGTCAATTATAGTTCAGATAAATACATTTGGTGAGATATTTTGAGTATTAGATGTGTGGAATAAAAAAACTCTATAGCTTGATTGGGGAGAAGGTGGAGAATTGGGCAAAAACATGTTTACCATGGAGAGAATAAACTCTCAGAAAAAATGCTAAGAGAAAATTGATCTTTTTTGCCTTGAGCCCATCAGGTTTAAAAAAAAGAAACAGGCTAAATTTTTTCTTAAAATAGCTTACTCTAAAGAGTTTTAAAAAAGATACAAAAAAGATAAGAATCACCACAGTTAATAGGAAGAAAACTCTTGAGAATCAGGAGAAATAGGTCTGTTCTACTTTTTGGCTACAACCTAGTATGGGCCACTTCACCAATCTGGACCTTTTTTTGCCTTCTTTGTAATTTCTAAAATGCATTTCCATTCTAAAATTTCAAAGAATCACCCTATGAGGATAATTTGTGAGGTTACCCTCAATATATTACAGTTGCAAAGCTCTTAAATTCTTCAAATACTTTTCCCATACGTTAGCTAAGGGAAACTGCCCATAAGAAAAAGACCTCATCAAAGTAATGAAGAGGGAAGAAGATGAACAGGAGTGTCATCCACTGAATCACAGGGAATGGGAAACAGATCTTCGACTCAGCAAAGGAGACCCAATAGTCCCCGGCATCTAAACCAAGGACTGTTCCATAATAACTGGCCTCTAGAGGCTTCTATCCTTTGATTAGCTTTTGAGTAATAACAATACTCTAATTATCAATTCAATTTTAAATTCCTAAGCCTTGTGAAATATGTAAGTGTTCAATGTGAAATTTTTATCAGTAATGGGTAAAGGGGTTCCAGTTGTTGTTTCTTAATATATATAAACTTGACATGTCTTTCATACTTAATAACACTACCAATTTGCTGTGGCTTACCGTGTCAAAAACAAACCACTCTACACTCTTATACCTCCCTCTTTTATCCAACATCTTCACAGAAGTAGGGAAAAAAAAGTCATTATAGGTTTTTTCCCCCTCTCTAAATGTATTCTTATTTGTGTAAGTAATATATAAACACATTTAACTTGTATTAAAAATTTAAAACAGTACAGAGAAAATTGATTATTAAAAATGCCTTGATTTCTCAAAAAGATGAAGAGCTTCAATCTGTGACCTATGAGTTTGGCCTTAGTCTGGTTAAAACTTTTGGAAAGATATAATCAAACAAATGATGTGTGAATAATTACTGAGGGGTCACCTGGAGCAGAAGAGAGTTCATGAAAAAACAAGCTATTTAAAACTACTTTTATGTCATTTTTTAATGATAATTACTAGGCTGGAAGATCTAGAAGATTCTTTAGAAATCCCCCCAAAATTTTCATGCTATCCTTGAAGAAAAAATTAGGGCAGTGGGCTAATGGGGTGAATATTTAATATTACATGAGTATAAATTAAAAGGAAAGAGTAATGAATTGATATCAGTCAAAATGATTTTTGTTTCAGGGCTCTTAACTTGGCCCTTCCCTGTTCAACACATTTGTTACAAGCTGGTGTAATGTCACCCGGCTGCAGCCAACTAGTACACTTAAGGTTGAGCCGTGATATGGAAGAATAGTTTCCGATATTAGGGAAATGCCAGTCCTCATTATGGCATGACTATTCCAGAATAAGAGTCTAATATTTGACTCTGATGCCAAATTTTAGGATATTTTGCCTCATGATACATTTAGAATGTTTTGCCTAGGATAGGGGATAGATATTAAAACCGTGCTACTTGAAGGACAGTTAAAATAACTGAGAATGTTTAAACTGGAGAATTGGAGATTAAATAGGCAAAAACAATCTTATTTGTAAAGAACTTCCATATTGGAGAGTATTAAATTATACAATATATGTTTCTTTGTGGAATAAATTAAGACTGAGTACAGGATACAGGTAACTTATATTTGTTTAATATAAGAATAAAATCTTTATAATGTTTATAGACTTTCAAAACTAGAATAAGCTGCCTTATTAGTGAATGATTTTGTCATGAGCTGAGTTGTTCCAGCTCGGCTTGGAGGATGACTTTTCAGGATGATTGATCATAAGTTTCATGTGAATAATAATATCCAGGGACTTTGAAACTCTGAAGTTTCCCTCTCCCCTAGTCTATGGAGGATAGATATTAAATTACTATAAAATGTTGATGAAGGTATTGGTATTTGATTATCTTTATTTTAATGTGAACTCATAAATATAATTGGGAATATTAGAGGAAAAAAGAAGAGAAAAAATAGCCCTGTAACATCAATAAAACATTTTATTTCTTTCTTTTGTAATATAAAAGGACATTTCTTTTTTCAATTATTTTATTGAGATCATAATGGTTTATAACATTGTGTAATTTCAGGTGTACTTTATTATTTATCAATTTCTTTATAGACCGCATCGTGCTCACCACCAGTAGTCTAATTTTTATCCGTCACCATACATATGTGCCCCTTTACCCCTTTGGCCCACCCCCAACCCCCTACCCCTTTGGTAACCACTAATCTGTTCTCTTTATCCCTGTTTTTGTTTATCTTCCACACGAGTGAAGTCATTCAGTGTTTGTCTTTCTCTGTCTGACTTATTTCAGTTAACACCATACCCTCAAGGTCCATCCATGTTGTTGCAAATGGGACAATTTTGTCTCTTTTATGGCTGAGTAATATTGAATTGTATATGTATACCACATCTTCTTTATCCATTCAACTGTTGAAGGGCACGAGGGTTGCTTCCATGTCTTGGATATTGTGAATAATGCTGCAATGAACACAGGAATGCATAAATCTCTTTGTATTGTTGATTTCAAGTTCACTGGATAAATACCCAGTAGTGAGATAGCTGGATCATATGGTATTTCTATTTTTAATTTTTTAAGAATTCTCCACACTGTTTTCCATAGTGGCTGTACAAGTTTGCATTCCCACCAACAGTGTATGAGGGTTCCCTTTTCTCCAAATCCTTTCCACATTTGTTATTTTTTGTCTTGTTAATTAAAGCCATTCTGACAGATGTAAGGTGATATCTCATTGTAGTTTTGGTTTGCATTTCCCTAATAATTATTGATGTTGAACATCTTTTCATGTGCCTATTGGCCACCTGTATATCTTCTTTGGAAAATGTCTGTTCATGTCCTCTGCCCATTTTGCCATCAGGTTGTTTGGATTTTTTTGTTGTTGAGTTGTATGAATTCTTCGTATATTTTGGAAATTAACCCCTTGTTGGATATATGATTTGAAAATATTTTCTGCCAGTTGATGGATTGTCTTTTCATTTTGTTCATGGTTTCCTTTGCCTTGCAGAAGCCTTTTAGGCTGATGTAGTCCCATTTCTTGATTGTTTCTTTTGTTTCTCTGGCCGGAGTAGACATGGTATTCGAAAGGATGCTGCTAAGACTGACATCAAAGACTGTACTGCCTATATTTTCTTCTAGGAGTTTTATGGTTTCAGGTATTACATTCAAGTCTTTAATCCATTTTGAGTTACTTTTTCTGTATGGTGCAAGATAATGGTCTACTATCATTATTTTGCATGTGGCTGTCCGGTTTTCCAAACACCATTTATTGAAGAAACTTTCCTTTCTCCACTCTATGTTCTAGGATCCTTTGTCAAAGGTTAACTGTCCATTGATGTGTGGTTTTAATTCTGGGCTCAATTCTGTTTCATTGATCTGTGTGTCTATTTTTGTGCCAGTACCACGCTGTTTTGATTACTATAGCTTTGTGGTATGTTTTGAAGTCAAGGATTGTGATGCCTCCAGCTTTGTTCTTTTTTCTCAGAATTGCTTTGGCTATTTGGAGTCTTTTGTTGTTTCATATAAATTTTAGGATTCTTCGTTGTATTTCCATGAAGAATGTCATTGGGATTCAGACTGGGATTGCATTGACTCTGTAGATTGCTTTAGGTAATATGGACATTTTAACTACATTTATTTTTCCATCAGCATGGAATATCTTTCAATCCATGAGTGTGGAATATCTTTCCATTTCTTTATATCTTCTTCAATGTCTTTCAATAATATCTTAGAGTTTTCAGAGTAGGTCTTTCACCTCTGTGGTTAAATTTATTTCTAGATATTTTATTCTTTTTGTTGCCATTGTAAATGGGATTGTATTCTTGAGTTCTGTTTCTGCTAGTTCGTTATTAGTGTATAGAAATCCAACTGATTTTTGTAGGTTGATTTTGTACCCTGCAACTTTGCTGTAGTTGTTGATTATTTCTAATAGTTTTCTGATGTATTGTTTACAGTTTTCTGTATATAGAATCATGTCATCTGCAAACAGCAAGAGTTTCATTTTTTCCTTTCCAATTTGCATCCTTTTATTTCTTTTTCTTGTCTAAGTGGTCCAGCCAAAACCTCCGGTACTATGTTGAATAGGAGTGGCAAGAGTGGGCGCCCTTGTATTTTTCCTGGTCTCAGAGGGATGGCTTTTATTTTTAAGTTAAGTATGATGTTAACTGTGGGTTTGTCATATATGGCCTTTATGATTTCGAGGTACTTTCCTTCTATACCCATTTTATTGAGAGTTTTTCTCAGAAATGGATGTTGGATCCTGTCAAAGCTTTCTCTGCATCTATTTAAATGATCGTGTGGTTTTTATTCCTCATTTTGTTAATGTGGTGTATCACATTGATTTGCGGATGTTGAACCATCCCAGCATCCCTGGTATAAATTCCACTTGATATGGTGTATGATCCTTTTAATGTACTGCTGTATTTGGTTTGTGAATTTTTTTGTGAGGATTTTTGCATCTATGTTCATCAGCAATATTGGCCTGTGATATTTCTTCTAAAGAGTGCTGTCTTTGCCAGGTTTTGGTATCAGAGTAATGTTGCCCTCATAGAAGGAGTTAGGAAGCATTCCCTCTTCTTCAATTTTTTGGAATAGTTTGAGAAAGATAGGTATTAAATCTTCTTTGAATGTTTGGTGGAATTCTCCAGAGAAGCCATCTGGTCCTGGACTTTTATTTTTTGGGAGGTTTTTGGTTACTGTTTCAATCTCTTTGCTTATGATTGGTCTATTCAAATTCTCTATTTCTTCTTGATTCAGTTTTAGGAGGTTGTATGAGTCTAAGAACTTATCCATTTCTTCTAGGTTATTCAATTTGTGGGCATATAGTTTTTCATAGTATTCTCTTTTAATCCTTTGTATTTCTGCTGTATCCATTGTAATTTCTCTTCTTTCCTTTCTAATTTTATTTATTTGAGCCTTCTCTCTTTTTTTCTTAGTGAATCTGGCTAAGGGTTTGTCAATTTTGTTTATCTTCTCAAAGAACAAGCTCTTAGTTTCATTGTTCCTTTCTACTGTTTTTTTTTTTTGGTTTTCAATTTCATTTATTTCTGCTCTAAGTTTTATTATTTCCCTCCTGCTGACTTTGGGCTTTGTTTGTTCTTCTGTTTCTACTTCTGTTAGGTGGAGTTTAAGATTACTTATTTAAGATTTTTCTTGTTTGTTAAGGTGGGCCTGTATTGCTATGAGTTTCCCTCTTAGCGTTGCTTTTGCTGCATCTCATACGAGTTGGTATGGTGTATTTTTATTTTCATTCATCTCCAGATATTATTTTAATTTTATTTATCTTTAATTTTTTCATTGATCCATTGGTTGTTCAGTAATATGTTGTTTAGTGTCCTCATATTTGTCAATTTCCCAGCTTTTTTTGTGGTTGATTTCCAGTTACCTAGCCTTATGGTCAGAAAAGATACTTAATATGATTTCAATATTCTTAAATTAATTGAGGCTTGCCTTGTTTCCCAAAATATGGTCTATCTTTGAGAATGTTCCATGTACACTGGAGAAAAATGTGTATTCTGCTGTTTTTGGATGGAGTGTTATATATATATATTTAAGTCCATCTAGTATGGTTTTTCATTTAATTCCACTATTTCCTTGTTGACTTTCTGTCTATATAATCTATCCATTGATGTAAGTGGGGTGTTGAGGTCCCCTACTATTATTGTGTTCCTGTTAATTTCTCTCTTTAGATCTGTTAATAGTTGCTTTATGTACTTTGGTGCTCCTGTGTTAGGTGCATATATATTTATAAGTGTTATATCCTCTTGGTGGACTGTCCCTTTTATCATTATATACTTCCCCTTTTTGTCTCTCATTGTCTTTTTATCTTGAAATCTGCTTTGTCTGATATAAGTATGGCAACACCTGCTTTCTTTTGTTTGCCCTTAGCTGGGAGTATCGTCTTCCATCCCTTAACTCTGAGCCTGTGTTTATCTTTAGAACTGAGATGTGTTTCCTAGAGGCAGCATATTATTGGATCTTGTTTTTCAATCCATCCAGCCACTCTGTGTCTTTTTTTTTTTTTTGGTGAGGAAGATTGGCCCTGAGCTAATATCTATTGCCAATCTTCCTCTTTTTGCTTGAGAAAGATTGTCCCTGAGCCAACACCTATGCCAATCTTCTTCTATTTTGTATGTGGGTCGCTGCCACAGCATGGCTTGATGAGCAGTGTGTAGGTCCGTTCTTGTGCTCTGAACCCACTAACCCCAGGCCCCTGAAGCGAAGTGCATGAACTTGACCACTATGGACCAGGCCAGCTCCCATTCTGTGTCTTTCGATTGGAGAATTCAATCCACTTACATTTAGAGTGATTATTAATATACAAGGGCTTAATACTGCCATTTTATCGCTAGTTTTCTGTATTTTCCAACTCCCAGTTCAGTTTGGTGTTTCTCTATGATAGTTTTCTTATTATTTATCATTTGTGTCTCTGTTCTGATTTTTTGTTTAGTGGTTACTATGAGCTTTGTATAAAAGACCTCCTGGGTAAGATAGTCCATTTTATGATAGCATCTTATTTCCTTGGTCTAAGCAAGTTCCATCCCTTTCCTCTGCCCCATCTCAGTTATTGTTGTCAAAATGTACTCTGTTTTGTGTTGTGAGTTTGTGATTAAAATCAAGTGATTATAGTTATTTTTGATGTTTGTCTTCCCTCCATCTTTAATGTTATAATTAAGTGTTAGCTAACCTGTTCTAATAGAGAGCTGCATTTTTAAAATTTTGTCTGTCAATTTATTTCCTTGCTCAAAGCTTTTTAAACCCTTTATTTTTTTTAGGTAGGAGGGCTTTCTTGATCATTTCTTCTAGGGGGGGTCTTGTGGCAATGCACTCCCTCAGCTTTTGTTTATCTGGGAAAATTTTTATTTCTCCATAATATCTGAAGGATAGTTTCACTGGATAGAGTATTCTTAGCTGAAAGTTTTTGTCTTTCAAAATTTTGAAAATATCATTCCACTCTCTCCTAGCCTGTAGGATTTCTGCTGAGAAATCCACTGAAAGCCTGATCAGGGTTCCTTTGTAGGTTATTTTCTTCTGCCTTGCTGCCCTTAATATTTTTTCTTTGACTTCTGCCAATTTTACTAATATATGCCGTGGAGAAAGCCTTCTTGCCTTAATGTAAATAGGATTTCTATTGGCTTTATGTACTTGTATGTCCACTTCCTTCCCCAGCTTTGGGAAGTTCTCAGCTATTATTTCTTAGAACAAGCTTTCTGCTCCTTTCTCCCTCGCTACTCCCTCTAGAATACCTATAACCCTTATGTTGCCTTCCAAAATGAGTCAGATATTTCTCAGAGAATTTCGTCATTGCTTTTTTTTTTTTTTTTTTTTTTTAAGATTTTATTTATTCATTTTTTTCCCCTCAAAGCCCCAGTAGATAGTTGTACGTCATAGGTCCGCATCCTTCTAGTTGCTGTACGTGGGACTCGGCCCCGGGTTGGACGGAGAAGTGGTGCCTCGGGGCGCGCCCGGGATCTGAACCCGGGCCGCCAGCATCAGAGCGCGCGCACTTAACCGCTAAGCCACGGAGCCGGCCCTCGTCATTGCTTTTTAGTCTTAGTTCTCTCTGTTCCTCCATCTGCAGCATTTCTATATTTCTGTCCTCTAAATTACTGATTCTGTCCCTTTTTTTTTTACTATTCTAAACTATTTTTAAGGACTCTAGATTTTTCTTTATCTCATTCATTGTGTTCTTCATCTCCAACACTTCTGATTTTTTTTTTATATAGTTTCAATCTCTTTTGTGAAGAATTCCCTCTGTTCTTTAATTTTATTCTTGAGGTCATTAAACTGTCTTTCTGAGTTTTCTTGTAACTCCTTGAGTTTCTTTATGATAACTATTTTGAATTCTCTGTCACTTAGCTTGTAAATTTCCCTGACTTCAGGATTGATTTCTGGGTACTTGTCATTTTCCTTCTGGTCTGGAGTGTTAGTATAGCTCTTCAAGCTATTTGATGGGGTGGACTTTTGCTGTCTTATAGTGGTAGTATCTGGTTGCAGATTCCAGCTAGCTGCCACCACGAGTGGGGGCAGAAGCTGTGTATTCTGAACCCTCTGTGACCCCTGGCAGATGTTCTTATACCTTGAAGCTGTACCGACAGGGCCTGTCTGCATTTGCCCACAGGCCTCTGCTGCTTTACACACATATGTGCAGTTGCTCT